GTATATGCGCCTGGAGAAGAGAGAAGTGTAGAGGAGAGAGAGAGATTTTGGGAAATGTTGAGTGAATGCATGGGGAGTTTTGAACCAAGTGTGAAAGTAATGGTGGTTGGGGATATCAGTGCTAAAGTGGGCAAAAATGTTGTGGAGGGAGTAGTAGGTAAATTTGGGGTGCCAGGGGTAAATGAAAATGGGAAGCCTTTAATTGAGCTATGTGTAGAAAGAGGTTTGGTAATAAGTAATAAATATTTTATGAAGAAGAGGATAAATAAATATACAAGGTATGATATAGCATGTAATGCAAGTAGTTTGTTAGATTATGTATTGGTGGATAAAAGGTTGATGGGTAGGCTCCAGGATGTACATGTTTATAGAGGGGCAACTGATATATCGGATCATTATTTAGTTGTAGCTACAGTTAGAGTAAGAGGTAGATGGGAAAAGACGAAAATGGCAACAACAAGCAAGAAGGAGGTGAAAGTGTATAAACTAAGGGAGGAGGAAGTTCGGGTGAGATATAAGCAACTATTGGCAGAAAGGTGGGCTGGTGCAAGTATGAGTAGTGGGGGGAGGGGGGTTGAAGAGGGTTGGAATAGTTTTAAAAATGCAGTATTAGAATGTGGGGCAGAAGTTTGTGGTAATAGGAGGGTGGGTGCAGGAGGAAAGAGTAGTGATTGGTGGAATGATGAAGTAAAGGGTGTGATAAAGAGAAAAGTTAGCTTATGAGAGGTTTTTACAAAGCAGAAGTGTTATAAGAAGAGTAGAGTATATGGAGAGTAAAAGAAAGGTGAAGAGAGTGGTGAGAGAGTGCAAAAGCAGAGCAGATGATAGAGTGGGAGAGGCACTGTCAAGGAATTTTAATGAAAATAAGAAAAAATTTTGGAGTGAGTTAAACAAGTTAAGAAAGCCTAGAGAACGAATGGATTTGTCAGTTAAAAACAGAGTAGGGGAGTTAGTAGATGGGGAGAAGGAGGTTTTGGGTAGATGGCGAGAATATTTTGAGGAACTTTTAAATGTCGACAAAGAAAGGGAAGCGGTAATTTTATGCACTGGCCAGGGAGGTACCATCTTGTAGGAGTGAAGAAGAACAGGATGTGAGTGTAGGGGAGGTGCGTGAGGCATTACATAAAATGAAAGGGGGTAAAGCAGCTGGAACTGACAGGATCATGACAGAAATGTTAAAAGCAGGGCTGGAGTTTTGAGACTCTGACCGCGGGTTCAATCCCGGCCGGGGTATGGTTTGGTTAGTGTTGGAGTGGTTGGTATTTTTTGTTTAATAAATGTATGAAAGAGGGGAAGGTACCTAGGGATTGGCAGAGAGCATGTATAGTCCCTTTATATAAAGGGAGGGAAGGAGGACGAAAGAGATTGTAAAAATTATAGAGGAATAAGTTTACTGAGTATACCAGGAAAAGTGTACGGTAGGGTTTATAATTGAAAGAATTAGATGTAAGGCAGAATATAGGATTGCGGATGAGCAAGGAGGTTTCAGAGTGGGTAGGGGATGTGTAGATCAAGTGTTTACATTGAAGCATATACAGTGGACCCCCGCATAACGATTACCTCCGAATGCGACCAATTATGTAAGTGTATTTATGTAAGTGCGTTTGTACGTGTATGTTTGGGGGTCTGAAATGGACTAATCTACTTCACAATATTCCTTATGGGAATAAATTCGGTCAGTACTGGCACCTGAACATACTTATGGAGTGAAAAAATATCGTTAACCGGGGGTCCACTGTATGTGAACAGTATTTAGATAAAGGTAGGGAAGTTTTTATTGCATTTATGGATTTAGAAAAGGCATATGATAGAGTGGATAGGGGAGCAATGTGGCAGATGTTGCAAGTATATGGAATAGGTGGTAAGTTACTAAATGCTGTAAAGAGTTTTTATGAGGAAAGTGAGGCTCAGGGAGAGGGAGACTACTTCCCAGTAAAAGTAGGTCTTAGGGATGTGTAATGTCACCATGGTTGTTTAATATATTTATAGATGGGGTTGTAAAAGAAGTAAATGCTAGGGTGTTCGGGAGAGGGATGGGATTAAATTATGAGGAATCAAATACAAAATGGGAATTGACACAGTTGCTTTTTGCTGATGATACTGTGCTTATGGGAGATTCTAAAGAAAAATTGCAAAGGTTAGTGGATGAGTTTGGGAGTGTGTGTAAAGGTAGAAATTTGAAAGTGAACATAGAAAAGAGTAAGGTGATGAGGGTATCAAATGATTTAGATAAAGAAAAATTAGATATCAAATTGGGGAGGAGGAGTATGGAAGAAGTGAATGTTTTCAGATACTTGGGAGTTGACGTGTCGGTGGATGGATTTATGAAGGATGAGGTTAATCATAGAATTGATGAGGGAAAAAAGGTGAGTGGTGCATTGAGGTATATGTGGAGACAAAAAATGTTATCTGTGGAGGCAAAGAAGAGAATGTACCTGGAGTACCTGGAGAGAGTTCCGGGGGTCAATGCCCCCGCGGCCCGGTCTGTGACCAGGCCTCCTGGTGGATCAGAGCCTGATCAACCAGGCTGTTGCTGTTGGCTGCACGCAAACCAACGTATGAGCCACAGCCTGGCTGGTCAGGAACCGACTTTAGGTGCTTGTCCAGTGCCAGCTTGAAGACTGCCAGGGGTCTGTTGGTAATACCCCTTATGTATGCTGGGAGGCAATTGAACAGTCTCGGGCCCCTGACACTTATTGTATGGTCTTGTAACGTGCTAGTGACACCCCTGCTTTTCATTGGGGGGATGGTGCATCGTCTGCCAAGTCTTTTGCTTTCGTAGTGAGTGATTTTCGTGTGCAAGTTCGGTACTAGTCCCTCTAGGATTTTCCAGGTGTATATAATCATGTATCTCTCCCTCCTGCATTCCAGGGAATACAGGTTTAGGAACCTCAAGCGCTCCCAGTAATTGAGGTGTTTTATCTCCGTTATGCGCACCGTGAAGGTTCTCTGTACATTTTCTAGGTCAGCAATTTCACCTGCATTGAAAGGTGCTGTTAGTGTGCAGCAATATTCCAGCTAGATAGAACAAATGACCTGAAGAGTGTCATCATGGCTTGGCCTCCCTAGTTTTGAAGGTTCTCATTATCCATCCTGTCATTTTTCTAGCAGATGCGATTGATACAATGTTATGGTCCTTGAGGTGAGATCCTCCGACATGATCACTCCCAGGTCTTTGACGTTGGTGTTTCGCTCTATTTTGTGGCCAGAATTTGTTTTGTACTCTGATGAAGTTTTAATTTCCTCGTGTTTACCATATCTGAGTAATTGAAATTTCTCATCGTTGAACTTCATATTGTTTTCTGCAGCCCACTGAAAGATTTGGTTGATGTCCGCCTGGAGCCTTGCAGTGTCTGCAATGGAAGACACTGTCATGCAGATTCGGGTGTCATCTGCAAAGGAAGACACGGTGCTGTGGCTGACATCCTTGTCTGTGTCGGATATGAGGATAAGGAACAAGATGGGAGCAAGTACTGTGCCTTGTGGAACAGAGCTTTTCTCCGTAGCTGCCTCGGACTTTACTCTGTTGACGACTACTCTCTGTGTTCTGTTAGTGAGGAAATTATAGATCCATCAACCGACTTTTCCTGTTATTCCTTTAGCACACATTTTGTGAGCTATTACGCCATGGTCACACTTGTCGAAGGCTTTTGCAAAGTCTGTATATATTACATCTGCATTCTTTTTGTCTTCTAGTGGATTTAGGACCTTGTCGTAGTGATCCAATAGTTGAGACAGACAGGAGCGACCTGTTCTAAACCATGTTGCCCTGGGTTGTGTAACTGATGGGTTTCTAGATGGGTGGTGATCTTGCTTCTTAGGACCCTTTCAAAGATTTTTATGATATGGGATGTTAGTGCTATTGGTCTGTAGTTCTTTGCTGTTGCTTTACTGCCCCCTTTGTGGAGTGGGGCTATGTCTGTTGTTTTTAGTAACTGTGGGACGACCCCCGTGTCCATGCTCCCTCTCCATAGGATGGAAAAGGCTCGTGATAGGGGCTTCTTGCAGTTCTTGATGAACACGGAGTTCCATGAGTCTGGCCCTGGGGCAGAGTGCATGGGCATGTCATTTATTGGGTGTGAATGCAGCAGCGAGGAGGCAGTGGAGATGTCATGTCTAAGGGCAATGTGTGGTGTAAATACTATGCAGAAAATTCGGAGTGTGGAAATTAGGAGAAGGTGTGGAGTTAATAAAAGTATTAGTCAGAGGGCTGAAGAGGGGTTCTTGAGGTGGTTTAGTCATTTAGAGAGAATGGCTCAAAGTAGAATGACATGGAGAGCATATAAATCTGTAGGGGAAGGAAGGCAGGGTAGGGGTTGTCCTCGAAAAAGTTGGAAGGAAGGGGAAAGGGAGCTTTTTGGGCGAGGAGCTTGGACTTCCAGCAGGCGTGCATGAGCATGTTCGATAGGAGTGAATGGAGATGAATGGTATTTGGGACCTGACGATCTGTTGGAGTGTGAGCAGGGTAATATTTAGTGAAGGGATTCAGGGAAACCGGTTATTTTTATATAGCCAGACTTGAGTCCTGGAAATGGGAAGTACAGTGCCTGCACTCTAAAGGAGGGGTTCGGGATATTAGCAGTTTGGAGGGATATGTTGTGTATCTTTATACGTATATGCTTCTAAAGTGTTGTGTTCTGAGCACCTCTGCAAAAACAGTGATTATGTGTGAGTGTGGTGAAAGTGTTGAATGATGATGAAAGTATTTTCTTTTGGGGGATTTTCTTTCTTTTTTGGGTCACTCTGCCTCGGTGGGAGACGGCCGACTTGTTAAAAAAAAAAAAATATGTTTTAGTGAAATATGTAGCACTCTTCTTTCTTCAATTTTTATTCATCCATGTGGCTCTTTTTGTGTCAGTTGTGGGTAATTATTACATTATTGCATTTGACTATCCAATATAAATATTTATTTTTTTACATATAGGAAACTGCTGTGTTTGTGTTTTTATGCATTTTTTCAGTATGATTACAATGTCTTTTTTTTTTTCCCCTTTTAACAGGAACATGTGTTCAGAACAACTGCAGAAATACATCTGTGAGGAAGCTAACATATGGTCAGCATGTTCCTGTGATGGTAGACAACTCTGCTTCAGACACTCCTGATCCACCAGTAGAGGATGACTCACATGAAAGTCCTAATGAAGACAATAATCATAGAAATGCTCCTCTACCCATTGAAAAGTTTATATCGGATAACCATGCCAGAGTTCCTTTTGCTAATGGACATGATAACAATGATTCCATGGCTCAAAATAGTTTGGAAAATAGTGCTCATAGTAGTTTAAATGACAATAGTCAGAGGGAAAAAGAAACCATTTCATCTGATATAAAGAATACTTCAAGAGATGTATATAATGCTTCCCAGACTCTCATAGCTTCAACTGGACAGGAGAATAACAATTGTATTGCAGTGGCTAGGATCAGCAGCAAAGGCAGTCCAGTTACTCTTTTACCAAAGACTACTGATGCTACACAGGCTGGAGTGAGCAGCATTGATCCAGTTAGACTGTTACCTCACAGCTGTGTAACTCAAAAGGATTTAACTTCACCCCTTAATTATGTCAGAGAGCAGATTTCTGTTTTACCTCAAGGTTGTGCAAGTGAACTTGATGCACAGAGGAATTACAACTCAAAAGAAAAAATAATAGTGGAGGGAGTTGTTAATAATGGCACAGTTACTGTTAATATTATAGAAAATGAGGAAGATGCCACAAGTAACACTTCTGATAAGCCTCTCTCATTAACGAGGAATGCAAAGATAGATGCAGAACACTCTTCAAAAATATCAAATGCAAGCAAAGACCTTTTGTTGCCAACTTCTGAAGCATGTTTAGTTGTTCAAGATATGCAACAAGTCACAGTGCAGCAAGACACCCAGAACCATCCTGCATCTGCAATGTCCCAGTTTCCCACTCAAGTATCTACCACTTACAGCAGTCCACCACAAATGGTAACATTCCAAGTGCAAGGAGGAGACAAGGTAAGCACCAGTAATAAAGGCCAAAAGGTTGTTCTCTTACAGTGTGGTAACCCTGGGCCAGGTACAATTCAGCTGGTGCCGCCTATTGCTGATAATTCCCAGCTCACCTACGTTACTCCATCTCTCTCAGGAGTGCCCATCATGTCTACCGGAGTTCCTCCACCAATCCTTCACGGAGGGAAGATTATGAAGATGATGAATTCTTCCCCATTACTTCTTCTCCCATCTCAGCCCATTATTGCTCCAGTTCCCCAGCCACCGAGGCTCAAACCAATAGCACCTAAACCTTGTGCATGTAAACTTATTTCCACCAGTCAGTCTCAGATTTCATCTCTTGGTGGGTCATCAACAGTTATGAATTCCACCTCTAAGATTCAGGCTTCTCCTTCTAGAAAGGAAGGCATTCAGGTCAGTTCTAGAATACCAGCAAAATCAAAACGTTTTGCTCCTTTAGAAAAATGTGACAGTAAACCAACAAAGCGTAGTAGAACTGACTGTGACTCAACTTTATCAACAGAGTCAAAAGTAAATCCTTTGAATAACTTACAGCCCTTGGATCAAACTCAGAAATCTGTGACAGTCAACCAGGTAGAAATTTCTAATGAACAAGGTCAAGACCTTCAAGAAATATCCACATCTTCTCTAACTGGTTTGGTACACTCAGCAGGGATAATGGACTGTGATGAGGAAGATCCATTGGGAAATATCATGGATATTCGAGTTGACATGCCATGCGATATTGCAGAAAACATCCGTGGAGATGCTATGGAAAGTAGCAGTCCTGCAGATGATAGGCTTGTAGAAATGTTGCGATCAATTGAGAGTGACCCAAGGTCCTGTGATTTCTCTCCACCATCTTCACCTGGAGCAACTTCAGAAAATTTTGTGAAGCCAATTAAAGAAGCAGAATCTCAAGAGCATGATGATGTAGAGGACCATGTAACTGATGTTCACACAGGAGATGATGAAGTCACTCAGGTGACAACTAATGAAAGCACTTCCACTGAAGATAAAGTTGCTTCCTTACAAACACCTGAAGAATCTGCAGCTCCTGAAGAACTTACTCATTTGGGTTGTGCAGTCAGCTCCCGGGTCTCCACAGATAATTCCCTTAGTAGTAGCTCTTATAGTATTACAGCTCTCTGTCTCTCCTCTCGTCCGGCACAGGATGTAGAGTCACCTCTTGAAAACATTTCAGCTCATTCTATACCTACATCAAATAATAATTTTGCTGGTGAACTTCCTGATGGTTTCTCAGAAGCACACACTTCCATAACATCATCAGTTGTAACTGGCTCCCTCACTAGAGTTTCAACTCCACTAATACTTCCCACTATAATATACTCTTCAGCAACAACACCACTGCTCTCACGAGAAAATTTGCCAAAAGCATCTTCGGCACCTAGCATATGCCAGCTGCCACTCCCCTCAGCTCTCCCACCTCCTTCCATTTTTCATAGGTCTGCTTCAGTATTATCGTCTAGTGCGCACACTCATCCATTAGCTCTTCCACCATTGCCTGTTCCACATCTTCCATCTCTGTCAGCTGATCATTATTCATCAGGAATTCTCTCATCAGCTTCCATATCTCTGACCACTGCAGACTCTTCTAATACATCTAAACCAATGGCTATCAGCAATACTATGCCACACATGAGTATGCCTAGTATGTTCACTACTGCAGGTACTGTCCCCATCTCTATACCATCTCCTTCTATTCCCATCTCTTTATCAACCTCACTCTCAACCTCATTGTCATCTCATTCTATCTCACTCCCTTCATCATCTGTTTCGGCCTCACTCTTGTTGTCTGCCCCGGTGCTAGCGTCACCTTCTGTTCCTACATCATTGTCCTCTGTGGCTGCTGCCTCACAGTCCTCAGAACCCATGTCACTAGCATCAGCTCTCTCTGTTGCACATTCTTCTTCTGATCATGTTGCACATTCTTCCTCTGACCCTGTTGCACATTCTTCCTCTGACCTTGTTGCACATTCTTCTCCTGATCTTGTTGCACATTCTTCAGCTGATCCTGTTGCAAATTCTTCAACTGACCCTGTTGCACATTCTTCAGCTGACCCTGTTCCACATTCTTCATCTGACCCTGTTACACATTCTTCTTCTGATCCTATTGCATTGCCAACCTCTGCTCCATTATCGCTGTCATCATCAAGTGTTCCAGCATCACTTTCTTCCTCTCTCCCCAATACATTAGCACCTCTTCCACTATCACTCTCATCTTCCCCTCCTGCTCCTGTCTCACTCTCATCTTCTATTCCATTATCATTCTCATCTACTGCACTGTCACATTCTTCTTCAATCTCGCTTACACATGTATCATCCCCATTGTCTTCATCTGGTCCCGTCTCTTTGTCCTCCCCTCTTTCACTTACTCATGCATCATCTGTGCCAGTATCATTATCATCTGGATCTATCTCACTCTCATCATCTGTCCCACTGTCTTTGCCCTCTGCCTCTCACACACTGCCATCTTCTGTCTCAATGTCACTATCATCATCTTATCAAATGGTCTCTCCAGCTACATTTTCTTTTTCATTAACAGCACCTTCAACCACAACCTCTTGGCTGTCACCTTGTTCAACTACTGTCCCACCTGTGACAACCTGTTGTGCACCAGTCTTCTCTTCCCCTTCAACTTTGCCTCTTTCAACATCTTCAATCTTTTCAGCATCATTTTTGCAGTCATTATCATCAACTAATACTTACACTCCAAGCCCTTTGTCTAATACAGCACAAGATGCCTTAAGTCTTCTCCCTGGAGGTACTTCAACAGCTTCATCTCTCTTGTCGTGCTCATCGTCTACATACACTACTTCAGCAGCACCACAAACTCTCCCAAGTATGCCATCCTTATGCCCAGATCCCTATGGTCTTGATAATTTCCCCCATGCTTCAGCCATGTTTCCAGCACTGGGAAACAAAGTGCATGATTCTGGAAAATCCAGCTCTCTAGGTTCCTCTTATAGTGCTGCTCTCTCTCACTTTCCTGAGGTGTCTTCATCATCTTTAGATATAGTATCTGCTTGTACACTTCCTGTGGTATCATCATTGGCTAGTTCCTTAATGCCTGCATTGCCACAGATAAAGTCTGTTCTGGGAATGGAAGAGGAAAATAGTGTTAAACCAGTCATTAACAAAAAGAAAACCAGTGAGTCTATCATCCCAACAAGTAATGAAAATTCTGTTTCACACAGTGCTACACAGATTATAGCCGTAACCCTGGATTCACTCAGTAATCCCTCGTTGCCTACACACCAGCCTGAGGCATCAAGCATATCCCATATAAAAAGTGATGCAGCTGGACTTGTTTCGGAAAAATGTGAACCTGAGGGTTGTGTCCCAGGAACATCTATTGGTCAGGGTTCCTTGTCATCATCTTCACTACCACTCACTGGTGAGGGAGATAAAAAGACACTGGGAGTCAAATTTACAGAGGCACACCCTAAGTCTCTTAGTAAACTTTTTACAGTGGATCATACTCCAGATTCTATTTCTCACACTGCTATAGATTCATCTGTGGGGTCACTTCCTTCAATTATTCCTCAGGAACAAACAACATTCACTACACAGGTGCAAGACAAGGAGGTTCAAGACAAGATGCAGGAGGCTCAGAATAAAATACCAACTGCAGTCTCTAAAGTTAATGAACATTCTAACTCTGTTTCTAGAAGTCCTTCATCAGTTTCTCTGGTGGATGCAGCAAATACTCAAACAATGTTGCACTTGAACAGAGATACTGTGGAGCAACTGGTTCAGAATTCAAAAGGGGAAACTGTGATGAAAGAAGAACTTCAGAAAGATCAAGAAGGAAATAAAGAGAAACCACTGGCCAGTGATTACAGCACACACACTATACAGCACATATCTGAAAGTGATAAGAAAAGGACTACATCTGACACTCACTTTCAAGAGATTCAGAATTGCTCACAGAAAGAAGCAGAACAATCTACCCATAAAACAAGGGACGAAAATGTTATCCATCTCAAGAAAGTTGGAAATATTAGTGTTTCAGTAGATGGTGAACAGTTACAACCCTCCTCAGAGAAGCAGCAGCCCAGTGCACTAAATTCTCCCCATGAGGCAGACAACCCCCTCACTGTACAGCAACCTAAGCAGCTGTCATCACTGCAGGCACCAGAAACTTCATCGCACTCAGCTGCAGTCATTTCCTCTCAATCATCACACCTTGTATTTGGGCAGCAGTTATCAGTAACAAACACACATCAGCAGAATACTCAAGCAAGCACTAACACAATCCAGTATCCTTCAATAAAGCACGACCAGGTTGTTACGAGCCCCAGACATGAGCGTGACACGTTAAGTCAACAAATTCCACTGGGAGCGCATTCAAAACCTATTTCATCTCTTCAGCAGCACTCACAGCAGCAGCATCAGCAACAACAGCATAACCATCAACAGCACCATCAAACACAAGAGACTGTTGGATCACAGAGATCACCAGCTAATTCACAAACAATAACTCCTCAGACTCATTCTCAGCATCCACAGTCTATTGTTAAATATCAAACTAGTCATAAACAAGGACCACAACAACCTTCAAGTAATACTCAGCAACAGCAACAACAACAACACAACAACAACAACAACAACAACAACAACAACAACAAAAAAACAGCAGCAGCAACAACAGCAACACCAACAACAACAGAAACAGCAGCAGCAACAACAGCAGCAGCAACAACATCAACAACAGCAGCAACAACAACAACAACAACAGCAACAACAGCAGCAGCAGCAGCAACAACAGCAACAACAACAACAGCAGCAACAGCAGCAGCAACAACAGCATCAACAGCATCAACATCCAGGACATCACAGAACGCAACAGCATGCCACAGCATCTCATAGCCAAACTCACATGAATCAAACTGCACTTCAGAAGCACCAACAGTCACAGACACAATTGGCTCAGCAACAGCGACAGCAGCAGAATTCTGTTGTCCAACATCAGCAAGCAGCTGGGCATTCACTTCTCTCTCATAATACCAATATTGTGCCAGGCTTAGGTACATCAATTGTAGGTGAAGTTGCTGATGTTTTAGGAGACAAAAGTACTGCAGGTCAACTATCAGGGGTTATGCAAGCCTCCCAGCAGCCTGGGATGGTTTCAATGCCATATCATCCTCCAATGGTGTCTGCTCCTAGCTATATGCAGCCACCCACTTATGACTACAACACTTACTGCCGCAAAATGCCCCACTCGCCAAGGTCTGATGGACGTCATCAGTGCTATGGGTATGGGAAGCAGCATCAGTACCAGCATGCAGAGTTATTACCCTCTGACCCTACGATGATGCCTGATCCCCGCCTTCCTCACAACCCACCCATGCCAATGGCAGGAACTTTCATAGAAGCCACTGATGATCATACACCAATGCGCCCGGAGCCAGCTTCTGAACATGTTCGATGCTTTTCTGTCAGTCATTTGGTGAGCCATTCTAGTGAACCACGCAAAGGATCTGTCAATGGACAGCAGAAAGACAGCTCAGCACCTCAGCCTGAAGATAAAACTAAGGACTCTCCACGAAGTAAATCAGGAAGCAGGAAGTCAGAGAGTAAGTCTCGTGGAAATGGAAATGGCAAAAATAGTTCCCAGGCTGATTCTCAGTCTCGGCGGAGAAGTCCAGCTAGAGGCTCCCAACAGGGTAACAGTGGGTCAGTGCCAGCAGTAATGTGGGGTAATAAGTCTTCATCAGCCCACAAACAAGGACACAACTACTCAACAGAAGCACTGCTCAGTACACAAAACTATGGCCGAGCTACACATCGTCCACCTACAAATCAAAACTATCCCATAATGACTCCTAATCAAATGTACCAGAGTAATTATTCACCACAGCAGATGAAGAATTTTGTACCAAATGCATCATTTGGATATACAGGGCATGACAGAAGCGGTCAGAGTGGATGCAATCCTGATTATAATTTTCAACTACACACACAGTCATCAGGGTCATTAGCATATGGTGGTAACATGGCCTACATGCCCACTGGGTACCCTTATCAAAACTTACCATCCTCTTCTTCATCAATGCTGTCTGGGGAGATCATGGCACCTCCCCATCCAACAGGACCATACCCTCGTTTTCATGAGTTTCCAGCTGACCAAAGTAATTTCCCTCCAAATCCAACATTTTCTTTACCGCTGGATCCACAGGATGTGTGCAGCGGAGGAGGACTCATGGGAGCAGCAAGTGGAGCCATGGCTGTGCGAGCTTCTCATGCTGACATGCAGCTTGTTCCCTCATCTTCTGTCTCATCATCTGTAGCATACTCCAGGTCAAATTCTAACCGCAGCAGTGGAAACATTGCTACAGGTACTAGTATTGGAGGAAGCATTAGCAGCTCTAATAATCATGGAATTGGAAGCAGTGGTGGAGTCAGTAGCAAACGACCACGTTATGGAGAGAGCAACATGGTAGGTGGAGGGATGGGGGGATCGTCTAATCTGTTAGAAGGCGGAGCGCTCTCTCACATCTCTCTCCACTCATTCACACCACCCTGTGATGACCCCACCTTGGTTCATTCAAATCTCTTTCCTGGAACTACCTCTCGTCATCAGGGCAACTTCCTTTTGGGTGCTGACAACCTCATGCCCATAAACACTGCTCAGTATCCTGGCAGCAGCAGTGGTACTGGAGCTGGTGGCACTAGTCAGTTAGGAGCAGGAGTCGCTGGTACTTCAGGAACACGGGCAGCATCATCAGTAGTACTACCACCTGGAGCACCCGGGCATGTGCCTTTCAGCCCTCTTCGTATGATGGATCGCCAGCAGGTCAATATGGCGCCACCTGTAGCACCACATTTGTCCTCCTCATTATCAAACTTCAACTTAACAAGTATAATTCCGGAAATAGATGGGAAGGTGAGAGATATAATTTTTATAAGATAGGGTACTATTTTATTATTGCTGAATAATAATAGCATTAGAAATTCATCTGCATTATACTTAATGCATTGCATTTGCTGTCTTGGGAGGTTCATATTATATTATTATTTGACTGTTAAACTAAAAGATCATTTAATATTTTGCACTATCAAGACAAGACAAGAGTAGTGATTTCCTGTGTACTACTACTACTACTACTACTAATAATAATAATAATGTTAGTAGGATTACCGACAATACTTTACATATTGTCGGTAATCCTACTAACATTATTACAATCTGTCGGACACCGTAACATTACTTTACACTACTACTACTACTACTAATAATAATAATAATAATTATTTTACTACTACTACAGGTTGGCCATCAGTAATCCAGCACTAATTTTGGCTAGCATAATTTCAAATTTCTGGGGTTGCCACACCAACTTGTTGCTACTATTTGGTGGCATTACTTGCTGCATAAGTCATTCCAATTTATTATTCTCCATTTATTGTTATAACCTGCTTAATTTTAGCCCTAGCCATGTTTCCAGTGAATAAAAGAAATGCTTTTTGTTGTGTAAAGCACATACAACGTACATTGTCTATAAAAGATAAGGTGGCTTTGAAGCCACTGTCAGTTGCCATGAGCTCAGCTTGCTCAGATAAGCTGTGACCGGTAAATTTGGGCTTACATATGAGAGAATAGGTCTGTGTGGTAAGTGTGCACTATATAAAAAATATCCTGCAGCATGCAGTACATAGCAAGAAAAAAACTGCAACTGTGGTGTAAAACAGCAACTTAGGAGCGACTAATGCGCATAGCACGCGAAGCAAAAAAAAAAAAAAAAAAAAAAAAAAAAATACGAAAATTGAGGTAATCATATAGAAAAGTAGCTTAACACTTTGGCAACACTCTGGTTTAAAGATAAAAGATAAAGATAAAGATTTTATTTCTTTGTAATTGCAATTAGTCATTTATAACATATATGGTGATGCTGCCACCTGTAACATGCATGCTCTCATGTCGTCAATTTTCAGATTTTTTCCGTATTTTTATGTGTTTCTTTTATTGTTCTTTCTAATACAGTGGAACCTCTACTTGCGAGCGTGTTCACGTGCGAGTTTTTCCAAATACGAGCAGTTGATGGGTCAATTTTTTGCTTCCATACACGAGCAAAATTTCCATAAGTGAGCAGATCTCAAGGCAGGTTCCTTGACACTGGTGAGGGGCTCTTGATCTTGATCTCAGGAATTGTATCTCATTTGTTTGTTGGACTATCTTATTGAAACTTGGACAATGTATGATGGAAAGATGCTTGTTAACGTACACCAAAAATGAAGGAAATCTAAGCATGAATAATGGAGTTCACTTCTCAGCAATTAGCCACCCCTTAGCAGTAATTTTGAATGGTTTTTATTTACCTGGAGTTTACCTGGAGAGAGTTCCGGGGGTCAACGCCCCCGCGGCCCGGTCTGTGACCAGGCCTCCTGGTGGATCAGAGCCTGATCAACCAGGCTGTTGCTGCTGGCTGCACGCAAACCAACGTATGAGCCACAGCCCGGCTGATCAGGAACTGACTTTAGGTGCTTGTCCAGTGCCAGCTTGAAGACTGCCAGGGTCTGTTGGTAATCTCCCTTATGTGTGCTGGGAGGCAGTTGAACAGTCTCGGGCCCCTGACACTTATTGTATGGTCTCTTAACGTGCTAGTGACACCCCTGCTTTTCATTGGGGGGATGGTGCATCGTCTGCCAAGTCTTTTGCTTTCGTAGTGAGTGATTTTCGTGTGCAAGTTCGGTACTAGTCCCTCTAGGATTTTCCAGGTGTATATAATCATGTATCTCTCCCTCCTGCGTTCCAGGGAATACAGGTTTAGGAACCTCAAGCGCTCCCAATAATTGAGGTGTTTTATCTCCGTTATGCGCGCCGTGAAAGTTCTCTGTACATTTTCTAGGTCGGCAATTTCACCTGCCTTGAAAGGTGCTGTTAGTGTGCAGCAATATTCCAGCCTAGATAGAACAAGTGACCTGAAGAGTGTCATCATGGGCTTGGCCTCCCTAGTTTTGAAGGTTCTCATTATCCATCCTGTCATTTTTCTAGCAGATGCGATTGATACAATGTTATGGTCCTTGAAGGTGAGATCCTCCGACATGATCACTCCCAGGTCTTTGACGTTGGTGTTTCGCTCTATTTTGTGGCCAGAATTTGTTTTGTACTCTGATGAAGATTTAATTTCCTCATGTTTACCATATCTGAGTAATTGAAATTTCTCATCGTTGAACTTCATATTGTTTTCTGCAGCCCACTGAAAGATTTGGTTGATGTCCGCCTGGAGCTTTGCAGTGTCTGCAATGGAAGACACTGTCATGCAGATTCGGGTGTCATCTGCAAAGGAAGACACGGTGCTGTGGCTGACATCCTTGTCTATGTCGGATATGAGGATGAGGAACAAGATGGGAGCGAGTACTGTGCCTTGTGGAACAGAGCTTTTCACCGTAGCTGCCTCGGACTTTACTCTGTTGACAACTACTCTCTGTGTTCTGTTAGTGAGGAAATTATAGATCCATCGACCGACTTTTCCTGTTATTCCTTTAGCACGCATTTTGTGCGCTATTATGCCATGGTCACACTTGTCGAAGGCTTTTGCAAAGTCTGTATATATTACATCTGCATTCTTTTTGTCTTCTAGTGCATTTAGGACCTTGTCGTAGTGATCCAATAGTTGAGACAGACAGGAGCGACCTGTTCTAAACCCATGTTGCCCTGGGTTGTGTAACTGATGGGTTTCTAGATGGGTGGTGATCTTGCTTCTTAGGACCCTTTCAAAGATTTTTATGATATGGGATGTTAGTGCTATTGATCTGTAGTTCTTTGCTGTTGCTTTACTGCCCCCTTTGTGGAGTGGGACTATGTCTGTTGTTTTTAGTAACTGTGGGACGACCCCCGTGTCCATGCTCCCTCTCCATAGGATGGAAAAGGCTCGTGATAGGGGCTTCTTGCAGTTCTTGATGAACACAGAGTTCCATGAGTCTGGCCCTGGGGCAGAGTGCATGGGCATGTCATTTATCGCCTGTTCGAAGTCATTTGGCATCAGGATAACATCGGATAGGCTTGTGTTAATCAAATTTTGTGGCTCTCTCATAAAAAATTCATTTTGATCTTCGACTCTCAGTCTGGTTAGCGGCTTGCTAAAAACCGAGTCATATTGGGACTTGAGTAGCTCACTCATTTCCTTGCTGTCATCTGTTTAGGACCCATCTTGTTTAAGTAGGGGCCCAATGGTTGTATGGTTGTATTCTCGTTTTTTTTGGTCTCATTTGATAGAATGGAATATATATTACAGAAATAGATATGATTTTGATTGCTTTCACGATGAAAAGTACCTTGAAATTGAGCTCAACGTAGGAGAAATGGTCCATTGCTTGGCTATGTTTCAGAGTAAACAAATGACATCACTGTCCATTCCAATATGCAGTCGTGAATGGGTTGACATTATTTATACAGTTATTGCAATAAGGA